TAAATCTAAATAATATTTAGATAGACACATGTTCTAAAATATATTATTTCTTAATTGTGTTGAGGCACATATAGTAGATCTGTGATAAAACTTGTTTTGTTTTTTTACGCAGCTTATTTAACCGTAAGTGCAGACCAAACATGTTTGGTAAACATGTAATGATTTTGCATCTTTACCCGTAGAGGTCAGAAGTCCGTTGCCCAACCAAGGCCTGAGCAGATCATACTCTTCTCCTTTTGTGATATTTACGGTGCTAGGAAAAACTTGCTGTAAATATTGAAAAAAGATATAATCCAACAATATTCGAAAAAAATTTACACCATATTTTTTACTCCATAAGGTACTTAATGCTATTGCAACGAATTTGATTAGTTATGTAATTTATTAATATATGACTAATAATTCTATTTATCAAAAGCAGTTTTGCTGAAACTGTCAATTAATTATCAGTTTTTAAATTTATTTTGTTATAAAAATTAAATTTTCATTTTGCTGTGACAATTTTTCTTGATAATAAATCAGATTTGGTAAAGATAACTATTGTCTTTCAGAAAAAAATATACATTTTTTTAGACAAATTTACACATTTAAAATATTTAACATTTTGCATTGTTTCTTCACTAACAAGACAAATATATTTACAATATACCGAATAATTGATTGTATAATAACGAGATTTGATTACGCATTGCATACAGTGCATACACAATAGCAGCGATAAAAAGATCTCGCTACAAAAATTTATTTTTTCCTTCTAATCTCTATTATTATATTAAGATATCACTAAAAATAAATTTATGAATGCATGCTTAGAATGCTCAACATTATGCGAATAGTCAAGAATTCTTTATACTGTTATATAAAAGGATGATTTCATCAGGATATTTACGACCATTTTTATAATACTTCAATTACTCAACACTTATATATAATATACATTAATTATCGCAGAAAATAACAGATAATATTTTAGCAAATTAATTTTATTGTTTACCTCTAAATGTTCTGGCTTATACACATTAATCATAGGCTTGTTTACTAGCCATTGTACAAATATTTCTTCCTTACACCTCTCCATAAGTGATACAAAGTATTTCAAGCGCTCTAGCAATTAGAATTATTAATTATCACATTAGTAATTTATTAATACCATCAATTTAATTATTATATAAATTTTAATAGTAAACTTTTTATTTTAAACCGTGTAAGAATATACGAATAACTTGTAAAAAGATAATTATAAAATTTTATACATAAAGTTTTTTACCATAGTGCGACAGCCTCGCTAACTTAATCGCCACACCAACGATAGGATATGCGTCGATTTGGGGAAAGTTTTTAAATTTCTGTCGAACAGTATACTGCTGATGCAGAAAAATCGCGAAAATCAAAACAATGCATAGTGCCAAAAAGATAAAATCCATTCTCCTAACAGTCGTATCTGCGAACACATCAAATATTTTAAATTACTATGTAAATTCTTACGTTATTAAAATGGAATTATGTTGATATCACACCAAAAAAATTGCACTGTCAATGCTTTCGTCGTTAATGTAGTCGCAGTACTGAGTGAAAATTAGATACTTTTAATTGCGATAAAGTCGATAACATATCAGGAATACATTCCGTCGCAATAATATTTGCCAACAGAACAGCTGTCAACAAAAACGATCAGTAAAATATTTGTATCGGTTATATCAACGCAATTTTTAGCAACATTTACTAATATATTTACAAATCAAATAATTTAGCAACAAATTTTTTATCATCATATTTTGTTATATTTTATTGAATGTCTATAAAGATTTGCTTTTTGACACTATATATGTATAATAATCTTTTTTAATATCAAAAAGTTGAAATATATACGTTGTTTATTAGATTTCAAATTTAATAATTGAATAACATGCGATGCAAATACTAGGCACAACACTTAGGCACAGAATCAAATAGCTGATTCTAGAAAATTAATTACGACGCTTGGAACATTTACATTGCCATATTTTTTAGTTTTATTTTGAGTTAGAAAAATATAATATATAGGTAGCATGTGATTATATAAGATATGAGAGATCGCACTTGAAACATTAATTTATTTTTTTGTTCTTTAGAAAGAATGAGAAGCAAACCGAAAATCTTAACAAATTTCGAGCTAATAATACACAAATCGAGTTGTGATACACAGTTAATAATCTGTTATCTAAAACGGATTTAGTTTCGACATTCTTATAATCATTGTGATTTTAATTATTCTCCGTATTACATAACACATAAATTTATACATAAAATTGTAATATAAATTATAAATCGTCTAAAGTTGGTTTAAACAACCTCACTAATCGTTTATTTTATTTTATTTACCAAAATCAATTTTTTAATCTATAACACTTAGAAAACATGAACTTTCAGTACTCACCGTCCGTCACGTCGGAAGAATCTGCGTAGTGAAAGTCAACTTCGTAATATGTTATCAACACCTTTGATACTCAATTACTGCATTTCAATATTTATTAAGAATCATGATAAGTATGTCTTTATTTAGCTTCACTTTGTTGAACAATATTAAACACGGTAAGATAGGTAATAGAATAATACGCCTATAATTCCTGCAATAGGGAATATTACAGAACCTGCTGCCTCTCACCTCGATTCAAGATTCGATCGCACAATGAGAATATAAAATCCGTATCTTGAGCTTCTATATCTCGCATTATTGGACTCTGTAATGATAAATACTCGTGCGACGATTGGCTAATGAAACCGAACGCTGTATTTCATTCGAGTTCTGAATAGAGGCAAAACTGTTTACATTTGACAATGCGATAACGTGCATGCTTAAGACACTATGTATACAAACTGCAGTGAAGGCTGTTCTTGTCTGACTGAGACAATGTAATTTCTATTTTCATCGCGTCACGAGATATAATGCACGTATGTAACTTCATTTTTGCGATTACCTTCATCTTAATCACCTTCATCACACTTAATTGTAATAATTTCCTGCTAAACCTGTTATGTAAATACTTATGATATAAGGCGATGATGTATGACGTCCCAATTACACAAATGTTTATTCTTGGTTCTGTTTTTTAATAGAAAATATTTTACCGTCGCGCGATCGTTTTCACACTGTTTATTTAAGTTAATAAATTAATTCCGGACTTTCTTAATATATCCGCCGTTTTATTAAGATAAATATTACTATTGAAATAAAAAACTTCTCAGTGTAGTAGTTTCTCAATGTCAGCGCATGTGTAACATTTATTTAATAAAATAATTGCAACAATTGCAATAATTGCGCGATTATCGTGACACGAGCCGACAAACATTGAAAATATTTTTGTTTGATAGTAAGAAAATGTGCAAATAATTATTATAAAAAAAGTAGATGTAAAGAAATTTTCAATCCGTCCGAAGGTTACACTTTCTAAAAACAAAATTTTAACGCTCAGCATATATATATTATCAATAATCATGTATTATGCTTAGAGTAATGGCGTTTTCGATTTACTACTCGACCCGACTCGGGTCGCATCAATGGACGTGGAATACATACATAGATATGTATGTATTCCACGTCAATGATGCTAGAGTCCTGTATACATGATGCGACCCGAGTCGGTTTGAGTCGCAAATCGAAAACGCTATAAAGTGTTGATTTTTTGTCTCTTATAACTCACACGTTCAGTATAATTGCAATTCCATGGTGTGACGTCGGGTACATTTTTCAAGTATTACCTTTAATATAAGCAGATCAATTGTTAGGATCAATCGCGTATATAAATTTTTTTTTACTTCCGGAGACCATTACCTGCGTTAAACTTGAAACCGTACAAAACTCTCTTCTCGAATGCAAGTTTCTTTTTACGAGTAAAAACAACTCTTGACGCGTTTTACAGGCTTGAAAAGATTTCTGGACGAAGTAACTTGATTTTTATTAAAGATTGTACAGTGTTTGTTAAATTGCAACCGCGCTATCGCAAAAATTCGTTTACGTAAGCGTGATTAGGCGTTTTCAACTATGAGTCAGTTGTTATCGTACCAACGTGGCTCAATAACGTTACATGTGACGGGCGGCAGGGTAATCGGCATGGTCGATGGTAGACATGTGGGTAAGAATTCTCCAGGCCACAAGTGAAGAGCGTCTACGAACAATAATCCGATCAGAACGCCACGAAGCATGGGCGCAAAGACGTTCGAGAGCCGACCCCGGCTGGCCTTCTGCGGCCAAACGAACACGAGCCGAGAGTCGCCTGTAAACGAAAGCGTACTTCCGTCACTAATTTATTCATTCACTGATAATCCCGAGGAGAATATCGATCGGTCTTTGCTGCTTGTTATTTTATTCGCGTATTTTCTGCGTGGAAGGCCAATGACTCGACAAAACATGGAACGCATTTTTCAGATCAATCACGCTATTTGCAGATTTCAGCTAATTTGTGGAAACATTATTTTAATGTACTCAAAATAAAATCCCGATTTTTGCTTCGTCCTCTCAAGTATTATCTGTGTGGAAAGCAATTAACTATAGAGTGACTAGACAAAACAGAATCTCAAACACGTCATATTTGCAGATGATTCACGGAAAAGTCATCTCGATTTACTCGAAATAAAATTCTTAATAATCACGTTAAACAACATTCGACCTGCATTACGGCGAATGATCGACGAGGTAACGCTACGCGGACAGACACCAGCCGGTGCGTTAAAGATTCCATCCTTGACGTGAGTCCTTCTCTTTCGATAGCTGAAGACGCGGCCTCGACTCTGTAACGAGCGACACGCGAATTTCTCCTCCCAATTCGTGTAGATGGACCCGGTGAGGGTGCTGCCGGTGCTCTCCTGAAGGGAAGCGCTTGTTACAGTTACCAAGGAGAAGTCATCGTCATCCCCGTCCCGTCGCGTAGCCGATTCCTCCAGTTTGCTGTGCAAACATTAAAATTTGCTGAAGAAAAATCCTTTCGCCGTTTAATGCTTTCAGGAAAAGCCACGCAGGATATTCCATGCTAATTATTCAGGAGTAACAGACCTTCTTAATGTCTTTTTGCCAAATAAATAGGTTATATTACCTCACGTATACGTGAGGTGAAGCAATAGAATATCGTTTGCAACGATTGCACGATAATGTTACACGAATCCGTTACGCATTCGTTCATTAATAATCATAAGTAGGTCACTTGATATACTCTCGTACTCTTGAATAAGCCGAGTAGTAGTAATAACATTGTGGCTCGATTGGCCGCACGTGGCGTGCTCCAGATTTCAAATATCCAGATGATCTCTGTCCTCGTCTTTCGTAATAACCGAGTATAATTAAAAAATGTTTATATATATCATTCTGTATATTACATAATATATTCCGTAATACTTAATTGCGAGGGAAACGCCGGAAAGGGAATTTGCCGAGAGTGTACGGACGTGTCAGTCACAATTTTTTTTGTTTTGCACATTCGGATCTCGATGCATAAAGGTCGACCCACATTTAATTCGCGATAGCTTTGCGACTATTTAAAAATTACCTTACTTTTGACAGCACGGTTATCGCTACCGCACTGATATCGATACCGTTGACAAAAGCTATGCACACAACCTCACCCACTTTTGAAACTTCAACGCCGCTTCCCGGCGGAAGCAATTCGTTATTTCCATTCTTTTGCGCTCTAATTCGAAAGTATCAAGTAGAAAACAACCCGCGGACCGCCAACGTCCGTGCGAACAAATTTCATCCGTATACTTCAACCGAATTCATTGGAATGTCAACTAAAACTGGTGAGTAACTTTATCCAATTCATCCCTTTATCACCGTCCACTGGACGGTTGCGGAAGACATAATTAAACAGCATCCTGTTCGACGGTCCAGGATTAGTCTTAGTTAATTCGGTTGATTCAGTTAAGAATATTTAAGTTAAAATCAAATAAAAAGGACAATGACTTCTTTTCTAGAGCTTGACTCGCCGTTGGCGAACGTCGCGTCCGAGATCGAGGAACGTCGGTGCGACCTGATCGGCCGCCACCGAGAGCTTAAGAACAAAGTCGCCACGATGGAACGCTCCATTCCGGCTCTGATGGCGTACAACATGTGGATGACCGAGCGAGATTGTCGCGATGGGCCGTACAACAAGGTACGGGAGATCGTGAATAGGTTCTCGCCGCAGCCGGACCCCGCCGACAGACTTCTCGCCGAATTGAAAAGCGCGGTCGACGGTCTCCACCAGGAAACGTCACAGTTGCATGTACGGCACGATTGACATTCGACGATAAGAATCCGGGTAATTCCTTTTTTCAACGCGAAAATTTATACGTCGCGATGTTAAAGCGTTTCCAGGATTGTTACTTAAATTCTTAAATATTTACGTTTAAACAAGTGTTTTAAACATTGTACTACTTCAAATGTAAACCAGATGTTTTAAGTATATTTTATTTTAAAAAAAAGTTTAACATAGATTGTTAAAGTAAAAATATTAATTTTGTTGCTTCTACTTGTGTACAATGGTAGCATTTTTCTTAAAATAAGATACTATGCGAAAGGATGTTAAGGAATCTAAAAATATTGCTTTTTAGATTTAAAAGTAGCTTTCTGATGCAGTAGTACCATAGATGCAATATACTAGGTAATACATATTAAAATATTTTCGTATTTAAAATTTTTATACATAAGTGAAAATACAATAAATCGAGAAATTATATTAACACAGAACATAATGTATAAATAAAATATAACGTGTATAGAATATATAATATGAAGAATATATAATGCATATGTATTTAAAACATTTGTTATCATTGAATAATCTTTGAAAAATCGGGAATTAAACGGCCGCAAATGTTACAGATTAATAATTCCTGCGACGGAAATTGACAATCAACTTTCTATTGATGCAGGACAAGATCATAGACGCGGATGTGAAACTGGAGGAAACTGGAATGGAGCTGGAGTCCTTGGAGTTGGCTAACAAGGAGATGGAGGAAAAATTGACAGGATTGCGTAACGAGGTACAGAGATACAATACGCCCAGTCTACACTCCGTCCACTCCGAAGATCTGATATGTCTGAGAAAGATCCGTCAGCTCGCTGAGGAAGAATTGAAACTGAAGAATTGCATCAGCGAGCTGGAAAGTAAAGAATTCATGTACAGGCGGCAAATGGGCAAGTTGCTGTCCTGCAAGAAATTTCAGCGTGATAGCGGCAAAATGACGGAACGCGTGCAGAGCCACTCTAGAGGAATTGGCAAAAAGTTATTCGATCCTTTAGAAGATTACACACTTAATAAACATGTGACGAAGAAAAAATATCATCTTGAAGATAAGAAACGAGTGAGTATAGTAAGGGCGTAAATAAAATATATTCTGTTCCCAGTTTTATGCATATCTCTTAATTTAGAAGGCTTGCTGTCCATGTGCAACGTCGATAACGTTAACCGCCTACGAGAAGGCGTCGAAGAAACCATTAGGAGGTTGCGAAAAATTGTATCCACCGCTTTCATGCTGCGTCCCGCTGGACCATCCGGCGTCACGTGCAACCGCGAGTAAATCGCGCGATTGCACTTGTTGCAAATCTTGCCGACGGGTTTCTTCCGCTCTATTCAAATCCAAGTCTCCGTGTTCGACGAAGCCTCCTTGTGAGTCCCTATTCAGCGTCGCCTCGAAAACAGGCACGTGTACAAGCCGATGCGTACCGACTTGTTTTCTTTCAAATTTTATTAGGAATATTCTATACGTAATGAAAACTTATACAAACATAAATTTGTTTGACATAAAATTTAATAGCGTAAACGTATGAATTTTTAGGTGTATCGCGACCACCTAAACAATTAGCGCAATCTTCGGTGCCATGTGATCCCAGTGAAACGTGCAACGAGTGCACCACTCCTGCCGCATGCAAGCAAATTAATATCAATAGATACGATTGCGAAGAAAAACGCAGGGGCGAATTGTCGATCCCGTGTGATTGCAACGTCAGATCGTTAGACGAGGCTCAATCAGTGCCTTCAGGGATGCTGCATTCAGAATCGGAAATAGATGATAGCAACAGCGATGAGGAGGAATTTTGCGAGTGTTGCTCCTGTGGTTGCGAAGCCAACGATGATTTATTGTAGTAATGTAATTGATACCCAAACATTTATCAATCAGCAAAATTGATCGATTTTAATGTCCTCTTAGACAGTTTAAAAATTCCTTTTAACATATGTATAGGTTTTTATATAATTGAATTTTATACAAAAAAATTGGTATTTGACAAACGATAATGAGACTGTTTTTATTCTTAACATTTATAAAAGTATTATAAAAAAATATTATTAAAAAAATTAATATTATTTATATATGCTCACATTTAATATAGTAGTTTGAAAATGTTCTCATGCAAGAAGTTTAACAGAAAATATACATAGACATATCATATTCTCATTTATTTATTTAATTATAATAGAATATTGAGCGGACAATTTAAGGACTAGTTTTTTTTCTAAAAATGAAAAAAATATTTTAATACATTGCAACTCGATATATAATTATCTAATATATCCTATATAATTCGCGATTTGACAACTGATTTAGGAATCACTATATGGTCTCGATCTACCTGCAAATAGTTACTAAAATTTCAAATAAATATATTAGCAAGTTATGTGCTATAAAATTTCAAATATAACTTTATTCGAGATTATGACAGTTTAAAAATAGCGTTAGATTCATTATCGCTAAATAATATACTATTCCAAAAATCATATCCTAAAGTCCTAAATTAACTATATTCCACTAGATAGAAGGAAATCCACTAGATAGAAGGAAATCAAAAGGTGCCACGTCAGAGAACTCTTCTTTCCATGAAAAGGACCGAGGAAGTTCTACTTATCGACGAACATCGGTAGCTTTCATTTCCCTAATCGGTAGCTAATACCAATTTGCACAAGCGAGTATCGGGGTCGCAACCGTCACAAAGTTGAAAAAGTATGGATTCATTTCCCCGACAACGTCCGGCTTGTCTACTCAAAACGGAAAGCTATTAAAAGAAACTAAACGATACGATGGATGACCGTGGTTTGCATCCCGCACTAATCTAGCAAACACATTACGTACACTGTTTAATCCAAAGGTCCAAGACATAGTTACAGCCCCCAGCCTGACACGCTAAAATATCGCCGATTAAACGGCACTTAAAATGTTCATATGACGGCTATGACCAACTAAAGATACGACTCGCTCGCCCACCTGTACGAACAAAAATGAAAATACCGAAATTTAATACAAAAAACGAGGAAAAAAGATCTACTAGAAACGAAAAACTTTTAAGTACACTTCGTGCAGTAGTCGTACTCAAAGAAAGTAACGATTATCATCGTAAGAACTTAATTTATTCGAGGTGGTAAAAACGTTTTCTCGTGCAAAAGTCCATAAAGTTAATAAGTGCATAAATTTTCAGCTGTTACACGATCACCTAAACGCCCTAAACAATTAACGCAATCTTCGGTGCTACCGTATGCATGTAAATGTACGTGCAAATATAAAAGAAAAACGCTGATAAGAATTAACGACTCTGTTGCGTAATTACAGTGTTACTGC